TCAGAAATTCATTTCTATATTCAGTAACAAGATAACAGCAAAAAAAAAGCTGTCTTTTTTGACGGTTTTTTTAACGGTTAAGCAACCATTAATTGCTTTAGTGCACATAAGAAAAAACATAAGACAACATAGAACAGGGGTCCCCAAACTTGGCAACTTTAAGGCTTGTGGACTTCAACTGGCTGGAGAATTCTGGGAGTTGAAGTCCACAAGTCTTAAAGTTTGGAGACCTCTGACATAGAAGGTCTTATACTCCAACCATCTCCTTGAGCAGAAAACCTTATACAATTTTCTTGCCCATGTTTCAGACCTTTTCTCTCCATTGAACTGCATTTTGTTGGATAGTTCAAGTTCTTCTGAATGTTGAGTCTATCTTGCAAAGCTCCTCTGTGCAATTAGCTATCCCCTTCAGCTTGGTGTCTGCAAATTCTACTCCCTCATCTAGATCATTTATGATGATGTTACAGAGTACAGGGACTTGAGGTACCCATTGCACGCTTCCCTCAATGTAGATGTAGATGTAGATGTTCTCCTCTGAGAAGCATACACTGAGTATAGTTGGTTAGCCAATTGCAAATCCATCCATCTATCTATCTTACCAAGAAGTAGGCTGTGATCTACCTTATCAAATGCCTTATTGAGTTCTAAAGAAACTATGTCTACATCATTTCCCTAACCCACTAATTTAGTCACTTTGTCAAAGAAGGCAATAACGTTTATCTGGCATGATCTGTTTTTAACAAACCCATGATGGCTTTTACTATTCTGGCAATGCTCATTTCTAAGTGCTCACAAATCTGCTGCTTGATTATCTTTTCCAGAATTTTCCCAGGTATTGATATCAGGTTGATTGGTTTGTAATATCCTGGATCCACCTTTTTCCCCTTTTGAAAATTGGAATGACATTGGCTCTTTCCCAGTCCTCTGGTGGCTCTCCTATTCTCCAGGAGCTCTGAAAGAATTTGTTCAGTGGTTCTGAAATCATGTCTGCCAGCTCCTTCAGAATCCTAAGAGGTAATCCATCTGGTCCTGGCAATTAGAACTCATCTAATATGGATAAGTATTTTCTTATGCTTAATTTAAAATATCAAGCCCCAGGCATATGGACCCAGAGTTTAAATTTTGTTCTCCTGCCCTTTCAAGTGAATGGATGTTTGGATACCCCAGGTCTCAGATTTTTTGGGGGGGCGGGGGGGTATTCAATGTTTGTACAATGCTTCCATTTGACCTTAGCAATACTGTTGTTCCCCACTTTCCTAGATTCAAGCAATTTTAAATGTAGACCCCTAGTTTCCTTTATACATTAGAATTCAAACTTTCCTATGCATTGATTCCCAAGCTCCCCAAATTGAAGATGGGTGGATTTCAGCTCCCAGAATCATTTAGCCAACATATTAGGAATTCAAGTAATAGCTGTAATGTCAGGATACAGTAACTGCTTAGTAGTCAAATCATATACAAATTAAGTATAGTTGTATAGTACAAGCAAACAAAACTTGCTTAGAAGAAAAATGGTAATGCCCACAAGAAATTTCATAACAATGAAGACTCAGAAACAGATGAAAGAAAATTCTGGACAACAATAGACTAAAAATTTGAGGCCTAACTTTAACATGGTCCCATACAAGAAACATATATCACAGTTGCCATAGTTAATTTTATAGACTAATTTAAGACTAATTTAATTTCATTAACTGAATTATCCAGTTTTATGCTATGGCAGTTTAAAAATAAAGCAGTTATTTTAGAATTTGTGGTTGCTGTTAAGAATTGAATTAAAAAGCTGCTCAAGTAGGTCCGTAACATCAGTTCATAGCAATTCTGACCAATGTATTAAAAAAAAGGCTATGCTGTTGCTCCAGTTATGTACATTTAGGCACTGATTCTCTAAATGAAAGTCTAGAAAAAGTAGAAGAAATAGAGATCCAGGTGCAGAGCAAGACATGAAGACACCTAGCTTTGGAATTTGCCTAGGTTTCTATTTTTAATTAATTTTAAAAGCAATTTTATTTTATCCCCAATTCTAGCACACTAAAATTCCTTTCCTTTTTTGTATATTTTATGTCTTTCTTTGGTTTGCTAACTGCCATTGAAATGTAGATTTGTTTTTGTTTCTCCACATTAAAACATCTTCACTGTTCAGTTTTACAATGTCCGCAACAGGGATCTTCAAGCTTGACAGCTTTATGACCTGTGGACCTCAACTCCCAGAATTCCTCCTCCAGTCATGGTAGCTCAGGAATTCTGGGAATTGAAGTCCACAAGTCTTAAACTTGCTAAATTTGAAGACCCTTGGTCTACAAAGAGGGCATTTGATGTTTATCATGCCAAGTTAAATGTCTGACTTGAAAGGAACCTAGTTTTCTAGGTAGCAAATAATCTAAATACAATGAATGACAAAAAAAATCATCTAATTCATAAAAATCTAATAACCATGTCATATGTTTATATGTAAATATACTCTGGGAAATAAATTTGCCTTTATACTTTGAATAAAATGCACCATGAGTCATTAACTTCTTTAATTGGAGGGTAAAGAATAGGATGAAGAATATTTAATTTAAAAAAATTCAAGGGTGACTTCTGATCAAGATGATATTGAATTAGGACTGGCATTATAATCCTTTGGCACTCCCTATAGTACGTTTACCTTTATAATTGACAAATTATCTCTTATTGGCACTAGAAACAGGTGAAACTGCTTTTGTTTTGGAAGAGGGTTTGTTGATTGCTTCCATCCCCAACAGGCAATACTTAAAGCAGGTCAATTTAATTTAATTCATTAAATTTGTTATGGCCACTCACTTCATTAGACTTTAGAGGCAGAGAAGGGTAACATTATGTCCGTTTATTATGATTATGTAAGGGTACTATAATGTTATTAAGTCTTATTATTAAATCTCCGTTGTGGAAAATGAAATATCTCTGCCAGAAAATTATTAGTTGGGTATCAGGTTGATTCATCATCTTCTAAGCTTTCCCTTTTATATAGCCTCAGCCATTTATTGTGAACTTTCTTAGCTTTGCCATGAGAAATGAACCACTGCAAAAATATGTACTAGTAGAGTAAATTGAATGGGAGGAAATAAATCTCACATAACATTCTTTCCAGATAACACCAACAACTTGCTAGGATATAGAAAGTCATTCTCCACCACAAGAAATTTGACTAATGAGAGAAATCTTTACAGGTGTAGCATTTTTCCCCACCCAAAAAAATTGTCTGATGACATCTAAAGATCCTTTTTGGCAATGATGAAAATTGAAAATTTTCATACTTATTTAAATGCTCACTAAAGTCTTTTGGGAGGATTAAAAAAAACTCTTATGTTTCTCTGCTGTGTTTGATCCTCACCTCAGGTTGTCGAACATTTTATCTCTAATAATGATGTTTGCTTGCTCTAAATATTTGTCCTTGGAATTATAAGAAAATATTGTATATTGTCCTGCAATAGCCTCCCTCTTTGCTTTTAATTTTTTTTTTTCTGATAGGTCAAGCAGAGCATAGACATAGGACTTACCTATATTGTCCCATTACCAGAATGGGATGGCAACCATGGTTCACAAGCAGATTGGGGTCTTTACTCACGTCTGTTCCATTGTAACATAATCTCCCTTGTGCATTTTCCTGCTGTAGTATGAAAGCAGACTTTCCCTCAAGGATTTTTGTATGTTTAGGCTGAAGCCCTTTACTTTTCTAAAGGCTAATCCTAGCATTTTATTATCAAATTCATGGAGGAAGGAAAATGCCTTCAAATGACCCAGTGCTTATCATTGGTCTAAACACCCTTATGACCTTTTCTTCATGCTGATTGTTGCCATAGCTCAGTCATTGTAACTCTGGTCTTGTAAGTTAAACATTGTTGGTTTGAAACCTAGCAGAAACAGAATGTTTGCTTTCTGAGTTTCCTATGTGCAACCATGCTTTGTTTGTTTTGTTACAGTAAATTCAATTCCACTATTTTGCCACTTTTTTCAGATACCTGGGATAGAAAGCTTTGACCCTCGGTTCCCAGATACCAGACTGAGAGCTGGCATTGAAGCCCTTCAATATTAGATGAATGAAAAAATGGAATAATATATTTGGTGTCTTGAAATTTGCCTGTACCATTAGAAATTTGGCAAATATTAACAGGATTAGAGTAAAATTGCAAAATATAATATTTTTATTACACTTTAATAGATAAGGCATGAACTTCCACCCCTATTCTCATTTTACTAATACATGAGTTTGATATCCTGCGAGACTAAAATCCATCTCTTCTGGCCTTAAAATGAAACTAATGCAATATAAGCATTTTGTTTACTATATAGCAAATATCTCAGAAAGTGTTCAACTGATGCAGATTCCAAAGATAAGCCATTAATCTTCATGGTAAGGACTTATCTTATAACTGCAATTATTTTAGATGAAAATGGATTTATACTAATTCAGATATGTGAAGGATATATCCTTGGCTATACTGTAACCCCATTATTTGGAATCTACCAAGACATCAAATCAAATCTTTATTATGATCATAGACCAGCATAAATCAAGACATCAAGATCATACAAAAGACTAGAGGATCACTTTCATTCTTTCTTAAAACTAATTTTGTTGGTGTGTTATGTCTCTAGATAGATATTTTAAGATTTACAATAATTCAATAGATTATATTTGAATTACATATCAAGGTATTCAAATATATTATTCCATTATTCTTCTGTCCTGTCCAATTTGTTTTTATGATCCCAAACTGTTCTTTTTAAAAAAATTACCTATCTGTGATCTTTTCACTGGACACATGCATGAAAGTTTATATATCATAAGATTCTACAAATATATGTATGATGTTTATATATTCACGTATATGTGTGTGCATATATGAGCGTTTCTGTATTTGAGTATTTACCAACAGCTTTTCCACAGATCTCTACATTTCCTCTTCCTGCAGTATTTTTTTTCCAGTACGTTTTTGTTTCAATTTATGATGCCGAAAAACAAAACTATAACTCACCACATATCAACTGATTTTCTTTCAGACCGCGAAATGATGCTCCTTGTAAACTCCTTGGAAAAGCACACACAGTTTCCTCTGATATCCGCACTGAGGAATTTGTAGCCCAGTATAAGATCCATTTGAGATTACAATCACAAATGAGGGAATCAGTATAGAAATGTCTGAAAACAAATCCCAAACATTTCCTTTTTAAAATAAAACACCATATATCAAATTGATTATATCAACCAAGATATAGAAGTTGCAACTGCCTAGCTCTCAGATAAACTGCTATTGGGGATGGGGCTGAAACAGTGTCCATGCCTTCAATAGTTACAGCATAAATCATATGGATCGTCCATATTCAAATATGGATAAATGTATATGCTATGTATGTAGGGCTGTGCATGTGTCTATACATATACATGCACATATATACTGTGTATGGTGCGATGGCTCAGTCATTAAGACTCTGGATTTGTCAGTTGGAAAGCCAGCAGCCTAGCTTTGAGACCCAAGCACCACATGAAGAGCTGAGTTCTCATTCTCATCCCAAATCCTGCTAACCTAGCAGTTCAAAAGCATGCAAAGGAGAGTAGATAAATAGGTACCATGCTAGTGGAAAGGTAATAGCTTCTTCAGATGGCACTGACCCAATGCTCTTGAAACAGAGATCAGCATTGCCCCTTATAGTTAGCAACGACTAGCGGAATAAAATCCGCAGGGACTCCTTCACCTTCATATACTACACTGTATTTATTTAACAAACATGTGCTTTTCTCCTTAATGATCACCTATGAAATGGAAGAAGGGTCATCTTACATTTTCTGGTAAGAATTGCACAGATTTATTTTCTGTGTAATTTTCCTTGGGGTAAGGAAAATCATTTTACATTCACAATCATTTTCCTTTTGGTTAATGTGGTATTTTTCATTTGGGTAACTTTATGTTCCCTCAAGGTTACATTACACGCATTTCTCCCAGCAATATACATAGTTTTCACTTTGAATGCTTATGATATGTGCAGATGGGAAAAGGGCTGCTCACTTGATATATTTCCGGTTATCGTTAATTTCCCAAGACATACTATGCTTCTGCTTTCCTTTACAAACAGTGCTGCCATCAAGTTACACTGCTGTTTATTCAGATTTTGGTTTGTTGTCTTAGACAACAAGATGTTGATTTACTATCAGTGTGCATTTCTCAATTGATGATGAACACATTATTACCCTTTATGCTTGATCAATAGAATGCATTTAGATATTCAGAATAAAATGGATACTTGGAGTTATTAGTTTGATTATTTTAAACGACATTACTTTCACTTATCAATGACGAATAATGCCTTAGATACCATGTTTAATGAACCTGTGATTTCACAAATGGGGTATATGACACATGATGTGCATCAATATTTCATACCCAATTTACATCAGAAGTTTAGGTCACTAAATATACAGTTTCTACTGAAAAGATCCAGCAGGATCAGCATACTGCAGGAAAATCCTTGTAGCGGGTATTTGTAGAACTTCAACTGTCATAATCCCAATGATAGACTTTTCTCTATTGACTGAATAATATAGAAATTTCCAGCCAATATAGCTGACCAAAAGGTATGTTTGAAAGGTAGCTAGTGGCACAACCTGCTTATATCTCACTAATAATATATAATTATTGCCAGTCAAGTGTCAAGCCCTGGGGAAATCAGGAGATTCAGGAGTTCAAATGAGTATAAAGATTTATTGCAAGCCTAAGCTCTCTACAAGAATCTGACCAACCAGCAGACAAAGGAAATGACTGGGAGATAAGGAAGAAATTCAACGTGGGCTGGACTTAGATCTCTTGCAGGTGCAGGGACTCATGATTTATGACATATTTGACCCCTTCTTCAGTCTCAGCTTGGTCATCTCCTACATCAAAGTTTAAAAATTCATCCTGCAGTTTTGCTTCAGAATTCTTTTGAAAAAATGGAGTTTTGCTTTTAAGTTGGGGATTTGAAATTATCAGTTTGGAAGGAGAAAACTGGGCATAACCTTTAAAATTATCTGGACATGCAGTCTACCTTTGAGTTCTAATCATTCTTTAACAGCTCAACCCACCTGACAGGGCTGCTATGGGGAAAATAGGAGAAGGAAAGAGCACTAGGCATGTTCATTGCCTTGAGTTATTTATGAAGTAATTAAGGCAAGATGAAAAAATCTAATAAAAATACATTCCATTTCTAATCAAAAAGAAAAGTATTAATTTCCAGGTACATGCAATTATCAAAATACTATTTGGCCTGTATACTGTAATTAATTTTCCATCACTCTTTTTTATTGTTTAATAAAATCCTAACAAGGATAAAATATAAATATTTTAGCATAATATGTACATTTAATATAATCACAATTATAATGAACATCTAAGATATTTTATGTAAACACCATAATGAATTAATTTGTTTGTTTTCTGTTTCTACTCAACCTTTTACAAAATTTAAGGCAAATTAACCATGAAACTTTAATATTTTTAAAGGCAAGTTCAAATAATAAACAGTCATAAAATATGACTGTTCCTATTGTCAACTCCCTTAATATTTTTCAATATTTTAGAAGTATGAAATTATTTCAAGATTTAGGAGAGCATGCACTTTGAATATTATTTTCAGAATAACACTGGCAATACTAATATTTTTGCAAACTTTACATAAAAAAGACATACTTACAAAGCCCTCAAAGCGAGAAGCTCAGTGAAAAGTCCATTCGTGAGACTTGAAAAAATGTTCCCTGATAAATTCCTGAAGGGGAAAACAATTATTATTATTTTGTTAAAAAGTGAAGGATATTTCAGGTTTGATTATGTTATTTGGGATCATTAGTAGTGTATTTAAAATATGCATGTTTAACACTAAACAACACATGTGCAACTATTGTAATCTATTTTTGTCCCCCAATATGCAACTGCAGTATTGGATACATATTACCTATGTCTTAAGCAACCAAGGCTCTGAAGCAGGGATGGGATCTGACCGGTATAACTACCAGTTCTGTTGCTCTGCATCACACACGAGCCCCGTGAGCCACATGAGTGCAATTTACGACCTGCTGAACTGCCTGGACAACTGAGCAGTGCTGAATGCAAGTGCGCAGCGGTTGGAAAAGCTCTTTTTTCCTGCTTTTTCAAGTGCAGCTGTGTCACGCAAAGCAGCTGCGGTTGAAAACGCAGAAAATTAGATTAGATAGATTAGATTAGATTCAACTTTACTGTCATTGCACATGAACACAGGCAACGAAATGCAGTTAGCCTCTAACCAGAAGTACAAAACAAAATATATAACTATATATATAAAATAAAGGTCAGGTAAGAGCCTGGGCGGGTGGGTGGGCCAAAACAGCAGCAAACATAGAACCGGTTCTATATAAGCTCTCTGTCTGCTGCTCTTCAGAGCAACCGGTTCTACAGAAGTGGACAGAACTGATAGAATCCCGCCCCAGTAGGGAACCACCAAGTAAGCATGAAGTCTTTATGAAACTTTTGATGATGTTGTATTGATCCATCCAGAAGTCATACAACTGCTGCATGTACACCTATAAATGGAAAGTTACACAGATTTTTCTTTCCACTGAAGACAGTGGTAAGTGGTAAATAATATGTAGATTTAGAGACAGAGATATAGAGATAGAGATAGATAGATAAATGAAAATAGGAGGACCAGAAGAGGCAACATCTGAAATCAAGAGTGAATTATGCAGACACCGCCACTTTATTAGTTGAACATAAAGATGACAAAATTCAGAATTAATGCAAAAATATTAAGCATTTTTGAACCAATTAAACTTTAAACAGACAAAGACAATGTGAATCAACATACTTAGCTGACTGCAAAGAAATGAAGGTGGTAGAGAGTTTTGTTTTCTCAATCAAGAATAATTAAAGATGGGCAATGTGTTGGGGAAGTAAAAAGAAGTAATTACAGAGAGGAAGGCTGTGACAAACTTAGAATCAAAGAATGAAGGATGAATATTAAGAGAAATATCAGAACAGTTGTTGAAGTCGCGGTCTTTCCATTGATATGAATAACTGAAAATCCTAGATTGAGAAAGAACAAATTAGAAATATGTTTTACAATTCTAGATGTGAATTACCAATCATCCTTGACCAAATAATAAACAGTTTCCATAAGAGTCACTGTTAGGAATAACAAGGTTACCTAACGTAGTAATACTGTGATAGGTAATTGCTTCTATAAGCCCTATGCTTTAGGAAAGCTTTTAACGTTAATGTTAAAACCTTGAGCAACAGTTGAATATTTAGTAATGATGATTTTACAATGAAAGTGTAATGTAATCCAGGTGTTATATACCAGTGAACAGTCCAGCTATGGCACTGTAACAAGGTGAGCTGGTGATAATTTGGTCCCAGGTTAGGATTTTTTTTCTCTTCGATGCAAATTGATACTTAGATGCTGGGAAATGTTTTGCTTAATTAAGACAACTGGTAAGCATGCAAGCTTCCTTTTTTGGAAAGAATGTATGATATACATTATATCAAATATACCAGACATGAGTATTTTTGTGCTTTGTGTATCAAGAAGTAAAGACTGGAGCCACTTGAGGAGAGTAGCTGAAGAGAAGATTCCTGAGTGAAGGAAGAATCTGTAACTAAGGATCCAACAGAAGCAAGCAGAATTGGAAAGAAAGGACTGTGAAGCATACTAACTTTTTTTAAAAAGAAGTAATTAAGATTCTATTTGGAACAGACAGACAGAAGTCAACGAAGAAAAGCTTGACCAAAAGGCTGTTTCCAAGAAGCTCTCTTAAAAGCAAACCTAAATTTGAAACTATAACCAAAGGAGTGATAAATAATACCTTTGTGAACAAGGAAGGGAGCAAGTGCGATGATCTATAGAAATCTCTGTATATAAATGCATAATACTTTGGTAACTTTAGGCTTGGAAGTAAGTATAAATTATTTACTTGAGAAGACAGTAACAATAAATATCTCTTCAGTCTGGAGAAGAAACCTTTTGTGGATGTATAAGTTCCTGCTCCTTTCCCGCCTTCTAGAAGGCCTTATACTTTAATTGACGCTTGTGGGCATTTTTGAAGAGTACATCTGTACACAAGAGTATCACTTCAAGTTTCAATAGCTAACAAAAGAACTGTTTCCTCAATCCTAAATATGCTGCAAATAATCTCTAAAATTATTTTATTTTAAAACTAACCACCCCCCCAAAAAAAATCTAATACCTGCAGCTATAATAGTTATGTAGTACTAAAAAAAACTTTAGGTCACTAGTCATTGTCAATAGAAAGCGATATTAGCAAACCATAGTACCAAAATATTAAAAGCACCTTTTCTGACTAACAAATTTTATTAAAATGGAGTAAGTTTTTGTAAGCTGCAGCTCAGTTCATCAAGTGTGTTATATTCAGTAGTGTTTTATACATACTAAGATCTATATATTTAGATAATTCCAGATGTAATATAAAATTTGTAGTGAAGTCCTCATTTGAATAAATAATTTGAATAAAAACCTCCTTTCCCACAGGCCCTGGGTGACTCTCATCTCTAGAAAATTGCACCGCACACACAAATGTGACCTTGTTTTACCCAGATTTAAACATGAAAGGTGCTACATAAAATGCAGGGAATATATTTAGGAATCCCACTAAAATTTGATTAGATTATAAATTTCATAATTCCCAGTCATGATAGATGGAAGAGAAGAGTAAAAACACAATACAATTATTACTATAAAGCTTTTTAAAAACATTTGTTCCCGGGCAAGGAGATGCCCTGAGAAATCGCTCTGAACAATCAACACTGAACAGACGGATTAAAAGCTCTTGACTTTTAGGCTAGACAGAAAAAGGAAAGAAAATCATGTTTACTTCTTCACCTCTAGCAGAATTCTTTTAAGAGGAAACTGAAAAGCTTGCAACCAGCTCTAACTTCTCCTCCTTGCAAGAGAATGCTGATACAAGAAACATCATTGACACGAGAAACATCATTTCTCCATCAGCAGCTAAAGTCACTCAAGGAGAAGCTGTTGCGGCTGGCTGGGAAGGCCAAGTTGAACTTTCTCCTTTGTAAGTGTTTGTTTTTGCAGAAATAAAGATCTTTGTATGGTAAGATCTTCTGGATGGATTGGAGAAATCCAGCAAGCATGATTATTGAACAGGTCAGATCCTTTACTAAACCAGATTACAGTTTCAAGTACTGTAAACCAGGGATTCTCAACTCCTAATCCATGTATTGGCACCAGACTGCTACATGCCAGCAACCAGGCCGTACAATCAAGCAAAGCCCCATCCGCAGGATGCAGACAGCACACAAAACCATACCCGCTCTGGTCTGCAGAAAAACCTTTCTCCACAGAACCAGTCCCTGGTGTCCAAAAGGTTGGGGGCCGCTGCTGTAAACCACAACCATACGTTGTGAATATGTTGAGTCCTGAGACTCAAAGTGTAATCTTCTGGATCCTAGAACAGCCCCTGCTGACTTCCTTCCGTATTGTGGGATAGCCACTCAGCTTTCTCTGTTCAAGAGTCCTGACAAAGAACAGTATCTCAAAACCCCAACTTCAGGAGAACTATGGTTTTAGTTAAGCTGACCAAGCCAAAGGAATACTGGCAAGTAATTAGTGGTATCTTCCTTCCCCTGCTTCCATGAACTTCTACAACTTTATCTACCACCAATCTTCAAAAACAGTGCAATGGAAAGATATTCCAGTCCACCTTCCCCTTTCCCCAGTAAATCTATTAAACATTGTAACTGAAAGTTGGTTTCTTGGCCACCATTCTCCTCTTCTTCCTTGTCCTTTCTCTACCACCCTTACCTCATCTACATGTTACACAGGCTGTTTTTCAGTCCCCCTTTTCCTTTGCTCTGTTGCTGAACTTCTAACTGAAGACCACATGCTCAAACTGTGTTTCCTGCAGCTTCTCTGAAACCCTTGGCTCTTTTTCTAAGGAGAAGAAAGGGGCTTCTACTGAGCACACCTTGGGCATGCTCTCTTAACATTTGCTCTATTCATGCTGTTCAGTACACATGCTGAGCTACAGCTAGTCCCTGAGGAGCATTTGCTCTTTCCTCAATGCTCCTTAAAAGCTATTTCCACACTGAATGGGAACTGAAAGCTTTTCCCAATGACTACTCCTTTCTCCTTCGTTGCCATTTTCCATTGACTGAAACTTCCCCTACTGTATGCTTTGTGAATGTTTTTTTTGTGTGTTTTCACTGTATTCATTTAGTGCTGTTTATTACTTTTAAAGGCTACTTCTCCACTGAATGATATTTTCCCAATTATTGCTATTTTCTCTTTCAACTGCTACAGTATTTCCACTGACATTTTCATTGTGTTAATAAAACCTAATGTCCTTTTTAGAGGCATGTCCTTTTTAGAGGCATGTCCTTTTTAGAGGCATGTAGGCATTTTGAGGTACATATTCCTTCTTCAATGAATAGCTTTTAAATATTTACCGGTCCCTGTGTAGCAAGAACTACTTATGAAACAAACTAAAACACTGTAAAAAGAGAAGCATTTTCAAGCTTCTGTGACAGTAGGATAGTTAGAACTTCATCCTAACCCAATAAATTCCCAAATAGGTTTTTAGGAGTAATAACCTAACCCTCCCAGAGGCCATCAATTTGGGGAAGGTGATACAAATAAGATGGAGGATTACCTCTGTACTGTAAAATACACCTAGAGTTCTGCATCCAGTTTTGGTCACCACACTATAAAAAGATGTTGAGACTCTAGAAAAAGTGCAGAGAAGAGCAACCAGGATGATT